AGGCGGGTCTTGAACCCGTGGGCTCAGGCAATCCACTCACCTCAGCCTCCCAAAGTGCGGGATTACAGGCTGAGCCACCGAGCCTGGCTGATATTATTATTATTATTATTACTATTTTGAGTAGGAGTCTCACTCTGTCACCCAGACTGGAGTGCAGTGGCATGCTCATGGCCACTGCAGTCCCTACCTGCTGGGCTCAGGTGATTCTTCCACCACAGCCTTCCAAATAGCTGGAACTATAGGCACGTGCCACCACACCTGGCTAAGTTTTTGATTTATTGTAGAGACGAGGTCTCGTCAAGTTTCCCAGACTGGTCTCGAACTTCTGGACTCAGGTAATTCTCCTGCCTCCACCTCCCAAAGTACTAGGATTACAAGTGTGAGTCATCACGTCTAGCCAGATCTTATTTTAAGATTGTAACTTCTTAAAGTCTTATCTTAGTTTCTTTATCTGTAAAATAAAGAGTTTGGACCTGATAATCTCTGAAGTTTCTTTAGACTCTAAAGTGTCCATAGAGGACAGGTGCAGTGGCTTGTGCCTGTAATCCTAGTACTCTGGGACTTTGAGGTGAGAGGATCATTTGAACCTAGGAGTCTGAACCCAGTCTGGGCAACAGAGTGAGACCCTCATCTTTACAAAAAAAATTGTTTAAAAAAAATTGAAGTGTCCATTGGCTTTGGTTTTTATCAGTATCCATAATAAAGTAACACTTGTTGGCCCTGCCCTATGTTTTGAAATCTGAAGGCCTTTACCTGTTTAATCTGGTGATAGATTACTTAGTCCATTGGTTTCTTTGAGTAGTTCAAATAATTTACTGTTTTCATTCACTTCTCTTTCAGGCTGTGGTGGATTCTGTTTTGGCAGTTAGAAGACCAAATTATCCTATTGATCTCTTCATGGTAGAAATCATGGAGATGAAGCATAAATCAGCAACAGATACAAAGTAAATTATATAAACTTTGACAACACATAGGAATACTTGGTTTTCTTCAGATGTTCTTTCATTAACTTCATTAGTTACTTTTAATCAACATGAATCTATTCATTCAACATATATTAACTGGATACTTGCCATGAACCAGTCACTGTCCTAGGTGCTGGGGATGAAGGGTAAACAAAACAGTTTCTCTCCCCAAAGAAGCTTACATTTCTAAGTGAAATAGAAAGAAAAAATCAAGTGTATGGTTTTATAGTGGTCAGGGAAGGCCATTCTGATACAAAACTAGTAAGCTAAGAGGTCTCTGAAGAAATAAGGGAGCTATGCCTGGTCATATCTGGAACAGTAGTGTTCTAAGCAGAGAGAATAACAGCTGGAAAGGCCGTGAGGCAGAATTGTGATCGGGGTGTTCCAGTTTGCCCAGGAGGAGGAAGAAGAAGGAGATGAGGTTAGAGGAGAGAGAGGGGCCAGATCTGGAGTACCTTGTTGATTTTGGACTTAACTCTTCATAAAATTTCCATTACATGAAATTATAAGCACATATAAGAATGAGAGGAGACCCAAAAACCCAGAATTTATTTATAAAAAATTGTATATTTATTCTTACATTTTTAAACTTTAGTCACCTTCAAAGTACACTCCATTTGATGCAGTACACCTGTCAAGACCCTTTTCCATTGCTCTAAACAGTTTTTGAACTCATCAATTTTGATATCTTTTAGTGCTTCTGATGTTTTTTGTTTCACCTCTTCCATGTTAGCAAAAGGTTTCCCTTTGAGTACCTTTTTCTTTTGGGGAAACAAACAAACAAACAAAAACTAACTCAGGATGAGATTGAGTGAATAGGGATAGTGGTGCTCGTGGCTCATGTAGTTTTTGGTCAAAAACTGCTGAACACTCAGCACGGTGTGAGCAGCTATGCTCGTAAATCATCTGTCATGAAATGGGCAAATCCCTTGAAAGAATCTCTTTAAAAAAATTCACTGAAGCCCAACGCAGCCTCTCACAACAATGCTAGCTGATACACTGATGTTTATGGGTTCCCAGAACACTTACCTAGTGTGGGAAGCCTGTAATACAAGGGACCCACCCTCTAAAAAATAATTCCATTGTTTTTTCGGAGCTCCCTCTTGTATAGAGAGAATAGGGAACGTCCATATACCTGTTCTCTATTTTACCTGTTTCTAATGTATAGCCAATCTCATTTCAACCATATCCCTCTTTCCCCTTCCTACCCTAGCTTATTTTGAAGCAAATCTAGATATCATATATCTCCCGTAAATACTTTATAAATATAAAGCCCCTTATTTTTATCTAATAGATCCACAAAACATTACCACATCTAAAAAATTATTAATAGTTCATTAATACCATCACGTATCCAATTTGTATTCCAATTTTAACAATTGTCTCAGATGATTATTTATCTAGTTTTGTTTGGATTAGGATCCATACGTAGTCAACATATTGCATTTATTTGATAAATCTTTTAAGTCTCTGTTTATTTAAGATTCTCTCTTCCTCTCATTGTTTTTTTTGTTTGTTTGTTTTTGTTTTGGAGTCGGAGTTCCACTCCGTCGCCCAGACTGGAGTGCAGTGGCACGATTCCAGCCACTGCAGCCTCGACCTGCTGGGCTCTGGCAATCCTTCCGCCTCAGCCTTCCAAGTAACCGGAACTACAGGCACACGCTACCACACCCGGCTAATTGTTTTTTTTTTTAATTGTAGAGCTGAGGTCTCACCAAGTTGCCTGGGCCGGTCTCAAACCTGAGGGCTCAGGCAATCCACTCACCTTGGCCTCCCAAAGCGCTGGGATTACAGGTTGAGCCACCCAGCTCTGCCCTCTCATTGTTTTTCGCCTTGATAATTATTTTGAAAAAGTTTGGTTGTTTGTTTGAAGAGTGTTTGTGGGAAGACTTGATTGCTTATGCTGTTTTCTTAATGGTAATAGTACTAGTTAGGTTTTCTACTTATTTTTTGGATCATTTTGGTAAGTAATGTTTTCCAGGAACTTATCCCTTTTGTCTAATTCTTTGACATTTTTGGCATGACATTTTCATAAATATCTTTTTGACACAAAATGTTCATAAGCATCTGGTTTGCAGGCTCTATAGTGATGTCACCGTTTTTTCCCATTATTATTTTTGCCCTCCTCTTTTTTTGTTTGATACATTTTCCCAGAAGTTTGTTTTATGTTTCATGTCTTTCTCTTTGTTATGTAACTTCTTTTACTCCTTTGGGATTTTGGGGGACTTTTCTGCTTCTATTTTAATGAGATAGCTACTTAGGTCATTAATTTTCAGGCTTCTGCTTTTGTAATACAGTATTTAAGGACTTAATTTTTCTCAAAATACTACTAAGCTGCATCCTTCAAGTTTTGATATATAGTTTTATAATTTTTATTTCATTTAAAATATTTTCTGAGTGCATTACTTACCTCAGCTCTTAGCTCATTGGGGATGGTAACTGGGACCCGGTGTCTACTCCTGTCGCCTTCGCCGCCTAACCCTTAGCCACTATGCATGAGTGTATCTCCATCCACATTGGCCAGGCTGGTGTCCAGATTGACAGTGCCTGCAGGGAGCTCTACTGCCTGGAACACGGCACCAGCCCAATGGCCAGATGCCAAGTGACAAGACCACTGGGGAAGGAGATGACTCCTTCAACATGTCCTTCAGAGAGGTGAGCGCTGCCAAGCATGTGCCCAGGGCAGTATTTGTAGACCTGGAACCCACGGTCATTGATGAAGTTCACACTGGTACCTACCGCCTGCTCTTCCACACTGAGCAGCTCATCACAGGCAAGGAGGATTCTGCCAACAACTATGTCCGAGGACACTACACCATTGGCAAGGAGATCATTGACCTCATCTTGGACCGAGTTTGCAAGACAGATCTTTAGGACTTCTTGGTTTTCTACAGTTTTGGTGGGGGAACCGGGTCTGGGTTCACCTCCTTGCTGATGGAACATCTCTCTGTGGATTATGGCAAAGAAGTCCAAGATGGAGTTCTCCATTTACCCAGCCCCCCAGGTTTCTACAGCTGTAACTGAGGTCTACAACTCCATCCTTACCACCCACACCATCCTGGAGCACACCTATTGTGCCTTCATTGTAGACAATGAGGTCATCTATGACATCTGTCATAGAAACCTTGATATTGAGCACCCAACCTACACTAACCTTAACCGTCTTATTAGCCAGATTGTGTCCTCTGTTACTGCTTCCCTCAGATTTGATGGACCCCAGAATGTTGACCTGACAGATTTCCAGACCAACCTGGTGCTCTATCCCTGCATCCACTTCCCTCTGGTCACATATGCCCCTGTCATCTCTGCTGAGAAAGCCTATCACGAACTGCTTTCTGTAACAGAGATCACCAATGCTTGCTTTGAACCAGCCAAGACCAGATGGTGAAATGTGAACCTCGCTATGGTAAATACATGACTTGCTGCCTGTTGTACTGTGGTGATGTGGTTCCTAAAGACGTCAATGCTGCCATTGCCACCATCAAGACCAAGTACAGCATCCAGTTTGTGGATTGGTGTCCCACTGGCTTCAAGGTTGGTATTAATTTCCAGCCTCCCACTGTGGTGCCTGGTGGAGACTTGACCAGGGTACAAAGAACTGTACATACGGAGCAACGCTACAGCCATTGAGGAGGCCTGGGCTTCCTGAACCACAAGTTTGACCTGATGTATGCCAAGCATGCCTTTGTTCACTGGTACCTGAGTGGGCGAGGGGATGGAAGAAGGAGAGTTTTCTGAGGCCTGTGAGGACATGGCTGGTCTTGAGAAGGATTATGAGGAGGTTGGTGTGGATTCTGTTGAAGGAGAGGGAGAGTAAGAAGGAGAGGAATACTAATTGTCTATTCCTTTCAGCCCTGCAGTATGTCATCTCCCAAAATTTCACTCCAACGTTAGCTGACAGACATTGAAGCTTTCTGGTTAGATTGTTCTCTCTCAGTGGTAATCATGTCTTTTCTATGTGTACCTGTAAGATTTTTCCATCATGTCTCAAAGTAAAAGCTTTAAGATAAAAAAAAAATTTCTGATTTCTACTAGAAGTGTGTTTCTTAATTTCAAAATATATGGGAAAATTTTAGTTATTTGTATCTAATTTAATTACATTATGGTCAGAGACTATGTTCTATGAGAGTTCATCCCTTTCAAATTTATGGGTTTTTTTTTAACTTTAAAAAATATTTTAGAATCATGGGACACATGAGGATTTGTTACATAGGTATATTACGTGAAAATGAGCTAATGTTGGAATTCCTTACGAGACAGCTCCTCTGTAGTGAGCATGGTACCCAATGGGTGATTTTGTGTCTTATCCCACTTGTCTCCCTCACTTCTTTGCATGCCCAGTGTCTGTTGTTTCCATCCTTTTCTTTTTCTTAATTTTTTTTTAAATTTGGGGGATAAAAATAGTTTTGGTCTGGGCTTTAAGAGTACCCACCACCCCCATCTGTGCACATTGTACTCAATAGGTGATTTTTTTTATCCCTTTAACCCTTCTTCTCCTTCCCCTTCTGAGTCTCCAGTGTCCATTATTCCATTCTCTATGTCTTTGCAGATCCTTAGTTTAGCTTCCACTTATAAGTGAGAACATATGGTGTTTGGTTTTCTGTTCGTGAGTTAGTTCGCTTAGGTTGATGTTCTCCAATTCCATACAAGTTGCTGCAAAAGACATTATTTCATTCTTTTTGATAGCTGAATAGTAGTCCATAATGTATATATGCCACATTTTCATTATCCACCGATTGGATGATGGACATTTAGGTTACTTCTACATCTTTGCAATTGTGAATTGTGCTGTGATGAACATGCAGGTGCAGGTATTTTTCTCATATAATGACCGCTGTTCTTTTGGGTAGATACCTAGTAGTAGGTTTGCTGGATCAAATGATAAATCTCCTTTTAGTTGTTTAAAAAATCTCCATACGACTTTCCACAGAGGTTGTACTAATTTACACTCCTGCCAACAGTGTATAAGTGTTCCCTTTTCTCCACATCCACACCAGCATCTGTTTTTTGGTTTTTAAAATAATGGTCATTCTGACTGGTGTAAGGTACTATCTTATTGTGGTTTTAATTTGCATTTTCCTGATGAGGAGTGATGTTGAGAATTTTTTCTTATGTTTATTGGCCATTTGTATATCTTCTTTTGAGAGATGTCTATTTATGTTGTTTGCCCACTCTTTAATGAGTTTATTGCTTTTTTCTTGATGATTTGTTTGAGTTCTTTGTAGATTCTGGATATTAGTCCTTTATCAGATGTATAGTTTGTGAATATCCTCTCCCGTTCTGTAGGGTGCCTATTTGCTCTGTTGATTATTTCTTTTCCTGTGCAGAAGCTTTTTAGTTTAATTAAGTCTTACTTGTTTATTTTTATTTTTGTTGCATTTGCTTTTGGGATTTTAGCCATAAATTCTTTGCCTAGGCCCATGTCCAGAAGAGTTTTTTCTAGGTTTTCTTTTAGGATTTTTATGGGTTGAGGTCTGACATTAATCCATCTTTAGTTAATTTTTGTATATGAGGAGAGAGAGGAATCAAGTTTCATTTTTCTGCATGTAGCTATCCAATTTTCTTAGCACCATTTGTTAAGTAGGGTATCCTTTCCCGAGTGTATGTTTTTGTCTGCTTTGTGAAAGATGAGTTGATTGTAGGTATTTGTGATTATTTCTGGATTCTCTGTTGTGTTCCATTGGCCCACGTGTCTGCTCTTGTACCAGTACCATGCTGTTTTGGTTACTACGGCCTTACAGTCTATTTTGAAGTCAGGTAATGTGATACCTCCAGCTTTGTTCTTTTTGCTTAGGATTGCTTAGGCTATTTTTGACTATTTGGCAATTGGTTCTTTTTTGGTTCCGTATGAATTTTAGGATTGTTTTTCCTAATTCTGTGAAAAATGATGTTGGTAGTTTGATAAGGATTATGTTGAATCTGTAGGTTACTTTGGGTAATATGGTCATTTTAACAATGTTGATTCTTCCAATCCATGAGTATGGGAGTGTTTTTCCATTTGTTTGTTCTCTGTCATTTCTTTCATCAGAGTTTTGTAGTTCTCCTTGTAGAGATTTCTCACTTCCTTGGTTAAATATATTCCTGGGTATTTTAGCTTTTTGGCTGCTATTGTAAATGGAATTGATTTCTTGTTTTGATTCTCAGCTTGGTTGCTATTGGTGTATAGCAGTGCTACTGATTTGTGTGTGTTGATTTTGTATCCTGAAACTTTACCGAGTTCATTTATCAAGCCCAGGAATCTTTTGGAGGAGTCTTTAGGGTTCTCTAGGAATAAGATATTGTTGTCATGCAGAGATAGTTTGATTTCTTCTTTTCCAGTTTGGATATGTTTTTTTCTTTTTCTTGCCTGATTGCTCTGATGAGGACTTTCAGTACTATATTGAAGAGTAGTGATGAAAGTGGGTATCCTTGCCTTATGCCAGTTCTGAGGGGGAATGTGTTCAACTTTTCTCCATTCAGGATGACATTGGCTGTGGGTTTGTCATATATAGCTTTTGTTATTTTGTGAAATGTTTCTTCTGTACCTGTTTTGCTGAGTGTTTTCATCATATAGGAATACTGAATTTTATCAAATGTTTTTTCAGTGTCTATCACAATGATCATAAGATTTTTGTTTTTAATTCTGGTAATGTAGTGGATCATGTTTATTGACTTGTATATGTTGAACCATTCTTGTATCCCTGGGATGAAACCCACTTGGTCATGGTGTATTTTTTTAAAAATATGCTGTTAAATTCAGTTTTCTAATATTTTGTTGAGGATTTTTGCATGTATGTTCATAAGGGATATATAGTTCCCTTTTTTTGTTGTGTCTTTTCCTGGCTTGAGTATCAGTGATACTGATCTCATAGTTAGGGAGGATTTCTTCTTCAGTCTGTGGAATTACTTCAGTAAAATTGGGACCAGTTCTTTGAAGGACTGGTAGAATTCAGCTGTGAATGCATCAGGTCCTAGACAATTTTTTGTTGTTATATGTTTCTAAGAATTTACCCACTTCCTCTAGATTGTTTGCATAGAGATGTTCATGATAGTCTCAGATAATCTTTTGAATTTCTGCTGTACCAGTTGTAATGTCTCCATTTTCACTTTTGATTGAGCTAATTTGAGTCTTCTTTCTTCATTTTTTATTAATCTAGCTAGTGGTCTATCAATTTTACTTATACTTTCAAAGAACCAACTTTTTGTTTCATTGATACTTTTTTTTTTATTTCAATTTCATTTAGTTCTGTTCTGATCTTCATTATTTCTTTTCTTCTACTAGCTTTGGATTTGGTTTGTTTATGTTTTTCTAGTTCTTTGAGGTGTGATGTTAGGTTGTTGATATGTGATCTTTTGGTCTTATTAATGTAGGCCTTAAGTGTTATACATTTTTCTCTGAGCATAGCTTTGGCTGTGTCCCAGAGGTTCTGGTAACTTATTTCATTGTTATCATTCATTTCAAGGAATTTTTAAATTTCCATCTTGATCTCATTGTTGACCCAAAGATCACTCAGGAGTAAATTGTTTAACTTCCTTATCTTTGGTTTTGCGAGTTATTCTTGGAGTTCATTTCTAGTTTTATTCCACTGTGGCCTAAGATGGTGCTTGACACGATACTGATTTTTTAAAATTTATTGAGACTTGATTTGTGGCCTATCATACGGTCTATTTTAGAGAATTTTTTTTGTGATTACTCTAGAACTTATACCATAGTAACTTATTAGAAGTTTAAACTTAATCAATAACTTTACCCTTCTTCTGAATAATATCTCCATTTACTTTCTCCCCAAAACCATGTTATTATTTTTTAAGACCCCAATTAATACTATTATATTTCTTTTTTTTTTTTGAGTTGGAGTCTCACTCTGTTGCCCAGACTGGAGTGCAGTGGCCGCTCCCGGCCACCGCAGCCTCCACCTGCTGGGCTCCGGCGATCCTTCCGCCTCAGCCTTCCAAGTAGCTGGAACTACAGGCGCGCGCTACCACGCCGGCTATTTTTT